CCGTCCACACCTTTGGGGACCCTAGGACCTTCTGGGGTTGGACCCCAGCAGTACCACAACATTTTTTATCCAGAGGGGAATGGAGTTTGGGGGATAGGTGAAAAAGGTAAAGGGATTAAGAAGTACAAATTGGTAGTTACACAATAGCCATGGGGGTGTATAGTACAGCATACATAATATAGTCTATCTCTAATAATAAAAGTGTAAAATATGCCAATTATACCGGATGGCTGAACAGTGGAACAACCTTCCAGATGAATCTTCCAGATGACATTCTGGACGAAGCTGGCACAATGGTTGCGAGGGCCCAAGGCAGCCGCTGTGGCTACAAGGGCTGTGGCGGCAAGGGCGAATTTCATGCATCAGGCCTCTAGTCTATCTATATAAAATCCTAATATGCAAATTGACCAAATGGTGGACTGACTGGAAGAACAACTCCTATAATGCACACTGACCACCAAGGGGCAGATGCTCAACACAGGAGCTGCCCCCAGCCCACAGACCCTGACCAGCATTGATGGCAGGGAGCAGAGCTGGTGAGTGGGCAGAGCCAGGCCAAACAAGGTAAGTGCAAGTGGGGCCCCCCTGAATGCCCCACTGGTCACCCTTCAGGGGAGGAAACTTGTGGTGGAGGCGGGGGGGTCAGGGCCAGTGAGCGGGCAGTGCCAGGGCAACCAAGGCCGGTGTGAGCAGGGGCCCCTGATCGCCCTGCCGGTTGCCTCACAGATCAGCCCTGATTGCTGGCCAGGCCTAGTGATCCTACCCATGCATGAATTTCATGCACAAGGCCTCTAGTAATATTATAATAACTAAGCATGGTGCCAGGTGGGTTCTTGAATTATTAGAGGGATCACCTTGTCAAGTATATGATTGTCTAACTGTTATGCTATACACCTGAAACTAATACAAAATAATACTGAATGTCAGCTGTAATTGAAAAATAATTTTTTAAAAGTCAATACTTACTGATTTTTATAATGTTTCATTAGATAAAATAGTTCTCTCTCAATTAAACTATTAACCCATCTTATGAAATTTGTGTGTACAATTCAGTATTTGTATGAGTTTTTAGATGGATATATACATCATTTTTTAAAAAATGATTAAACATAAGTGGTCATATTTTTCCAAAGTGAAATTTTACAGGAGTCCAAAATATTTTGTGATGCAATCATTTAATCACTTTATCATCGGTCAATCAATTATACTTTATTCTAGAGGTTAAGAATATTTCTTTATTTCAAGTTGCTAGCTTGGATTTCTAAGAATTATCCATTCTGGAATCTTTTTTGTTGTGTCCTGATCAATATTGATCACAAAAGCAAATATTTTGGACCCTGGTATCAGGCCAACTATAGAGGCGTGCAACTTACACAGTTGCAAAGACCCCAGTGTCAGAAGACCCTAATATCTGTTTAATGCTCAATGGTTACTGTCTTAATATTCTTAATTTTTTAATAAGAGACCCTGATTTTTCCTTTGAGGTGCTTAACTCCTTCAACTTTAATTGGAGCTCTGCTAACCTGGTTAAATTCCTCTTGTTTTCTGAACTAAGTGATTCTTGTTCCATATATTGAAGGAGTGTATAGTGCTACCACCCTATGACACTCTTTAGGTTGTCTCCTTGCAAATAAATATCTGTGTATTCCATAATATCAATATAAAACATTAATTACAATTAACTGGCATAGGATATAAAAGAAATGTTCTATAATTCTTTTTCTTCCTGGATTTTTACTAGACTCAAATATTAAAACACACACATCAATTGCACGACAGTTATACTTTTATTAATTATATTATTTCTGAAATCTTATGGTTTCCATACGCCAAGTAATGTATAAATGTTGTTGAGTCTCTGGTGTAACATTTGATCTTTAAAGTCTGCTAACTGTATATGTATATTTATGTGTGTATGTGTATATATGTATATATATATATATATATATACACACACACTTGGGTGCAATGTAACATTTTGATTATTTCAAATTGGTCATATTACATATTAGTTTACTTAATTTACTATTTTGGTTTAAAAGTCACTTTTATCAGAAACCTCTTGCTGGCCTCATTGAACAATCTAAATCAGGGGTGGGCAAACTTTTTGACTCGAGGACCACAATGGGTTCTTAAACTGGACCGGAGGGCCGGAACAAAAGCATGGATGGAGTGTTTGTGTGAACTAATATAAATTCAAAGTAAACATCATTACATAAAAGGGTACGGTCTTTTTTTTTTTTTAGTTTTATTCATTTCAAACGGGCTGGATCCGGCCCGTGGGCCGTAGTTTTCCCACGGCTGATCTAAATGAAAGTAAATGTAATGCTGAAATATAGCATAAACACAATTTAAGTATGAAGATAAATGACTGAAATACATTCATTTGCATTTGTCCTTTCATGAAAAAAAAACACACATAACAACAACAGTTGCTTTTTAACAAATTTATGTAGCAAAATAACATAAAAATAAGTAGAAATATATTCTGAGTGTCCACTATTTAGGGTAGGGTATCAGTAAACCCTTAAAATCAGGAAGGCAATACATGCCAATGAGTTCTCAAAATTGCAAGTTACATAGTAACTAATCTTTGAATTACTTGGTAATGTCGAGTATAATTATCAAGTAATTTGTAGAAACATGTAATTCCCTTATAATTATAGAGCTATTACAGATGCCCTACAAAATAGGATGCTAGTACAGCCTTATCAATCTAGAATCATTGCCTTCTTTTAACATTCACTGACTGCAGTATTCATGAATGAAACATCTGACTTCTAAATGAAAAGCTCCAGATGCATCATATACAATAGCTATTCTTTCAATCAAAAGTATGGTTTATTCTCATTGTATGAAAAAAAAAAGAATCCTCCCACTAGTGACTATAAAAACTTTCTTAATTGCTATTCTGCATGTATAATTTTTGCATGAAAAAATGGCATAAATATATAAAAATGGCTTACAATCTTATATTTAGTCTTACTTTTCTTAAATAAAACCTGCTTTGCATGCACTCTTAAAAATCTCTCACATTAAAGAATATTTGAACTAAATGATCTTGTATATATTTGGCAGAAATCTGCAAATCAATAAATATATTTTCAGTAAGTGCTTTTAAACAGAAGTGACAATAGCATAACATAAAACAAAATAAAACTAAAAATTATAGCATTTAAACATTTTTTTCAAGAGTAGACATAATGTTTCTGTCTGTAAGATTTAATTTTGTGTATGTGCTACTTTTTCACTGAGATCATAGCCTATCTTAGTTATGTGACCCTAGATCTATGTCATCCTTCATTTTCACGTCTTGGCATTAAAACTAAGAATTGTGCTTCCTGAGGCTAGAAGTAACCAGCACTAAACTATTATAATATCATCTCATGTGCTCATCTCTCCAATTGTCAGTTCTTTCTTCTTTGGCCAATAAGAATTTTATTCTTTTTCCTAGCAACTCAGCTATATATGTTAAAGGTAATTCATGTCATTGAATCTGCCACATAGCCAGAAATAGAAGTCTTTCTAGTTGATCCTCTGCATTTAAATTGTATACAAAAACAAGTACATGGATTATTGTTTTTAGAAAAATCCTGAGGCCTAATTGGTTCCATGACCAATAATCAATTAGCCAGATTCTTTTTTTAAAAAAATATATATATTTCTTTATTGATTTCAGAGAGGAAGGGAGAAGGAGAGAGAGATAGAAACATCAATGATGAGGGAGAATCATTGACTGGCTGCCTCCTGCACACCTCCTGCTGGGGAACGAGCCCACAACCCAGGCAGGTGCTCTTGGCCAGAATGGAACCTGGGACCCTTCAGTTCGCAGGCTGACGCTCCATCCACTGAGCCAAGCCAGCTAAGGCCAGATTCTTTTTAAACTTTGCTCAGATAGTCATTATTTGACCCTGATACAGGACATCTGATAAAAATGTATGTCTTTCCAGTAATGAAATTTTATTTTATTTTAATTTTTTAGATATATTTTATTGATTTTTCTTTTTTTACAGAGAGGAAGAGAGAGGGATAGAGAGTTAGAAACATCGATGGGAGAGAAATATCGATCAGCTGCCTCCTGCACATGCCCTCCTGGGGATGTGCCTGCAACCCAGTACACGCCCTTGACCGGAATCGAACCCAGGACCTTTCAGTCCGCAGGCCAACGCTCTATCCACTGAGCAAAACCGGTTAGGGATGAAATTTTATTTTAGAACCTCTGCTAGAGTTTCAAAGAACTAGTTATAAAAGTAAACATAGAAGAAGTATTATCTACCTTGAAGAGTTGAGAAACAAATAATCGGTGGCATTTTCAATAGTCTTTAATTAAATTGCAGTGACTTAAGCAGTTGATGGGTAGTCTACATTCATTTAAGTAATAGCATGTGCTTGGAGTTATGTTATAATATTTTTTTCAGTGAACACTGTGTCTTCTTTTGTCATTATTTTTTAATTTCAGCTTATATAAAGTAAAATCAGTGAAATAAACTACAAGACTTGACATTTTTCATAGTGAAGAAATTCATCAGCATGAAATTTATGAAACAGATACAACATTAACAAAGTGAAGTTATTTGTCCTTGTTGTTCCACGAGATTAAGGAAAATAAGGACGGCCGAAACCGGTTTGGCTCAGTGGATAGAGCGTCGGCCTGCGGACTGAAAGGTCCCAGGTTCGATTCCGGTCAAGGGCATGTACCTGGGTTGCGGGCACATCCCCAGTAGGAGATGTGCAGGAGGCAGCTGATCGATGTCTCTCTCTCATCGATGTTTCTAACTCTCTATCTCTCTCCCTTCCTCTTTGTAAAAATTCAATAAAATATATTTGAAAAAAAAAAAAGAAAGAAAATAAGGACCAATGAATGTTCAGTGACACATATCAGTTACAATGCTAGATATGGTATATGACCTAATAACTCCCAGTTATTTTTCTTTGTAGCATATTAAGCTATTTCTAATCATCAGCTTTATTTAAAGTTAGTTTTTATTGCTACATATTTTCAGTTATAAAATAAATTATTGGGATATAATGCACAGCATGGTGATTGTAGTTAATACTGTATTGCATATTTGAAAGTTACGAAGAGTAGATCTTATAAGTTTTCATCATAAAAAGAAATTTAACCCTCTAAGTTGATGGATATTATTTGAGCTAATTGTGGTGATCATTCTACAATGTATACAAATATTTAATCATTATTTTGTACACCTGAAATTAAAATAATATATATATATATATGTCAGTTATTTATGGAAACGATATGAAAGAAAAATTTCTAATTCTACAACATAAGGTTAGCTTTTATTTATTTTATTTAATGTTAGCTTTAAGATAATGCCTATTCATAAGAGAAATAGGAGATTTATAAATGGAGGAATAGAAACACTCTGCGATATCTTAGCCAACCTCAAATAAAATACTGTCCTGACCATGTTCTATTCTTTTTCATTTTGCTAAATATTTAGAATTTATTAAAATTAATTATAGATAGGAAAGTGTCAGAATTTACTTATTTACCTTCTTACCTGTAGGAGCAATAGATTATATATAATTTATAATTACATTCAGGAAAAAATACTAACACTAGGGATACAAGTATGATGAAAAGAATAAGGACTTCAAAGTTTTGAAATGCAAAATGTTAAGTATTTGACTCCATTATTTAGTACTTTGATTTTCTTTCAATTAATAAAAAAATGACAAATTATATTTTATACTACATTTGAAACTAGTAGTTTAAAATATATATGCAGATATTTAATATTTTATTTAATTTTTATAGAGTTTATACGTTTTCACATAAAGTTGATATAACATTGTCACCTTTTTTAAATTACCAGCCTAGTGAAGTAAAGGATGTGTTTCATTGAAAATAAAGACGCCTAGATTCTAGCTCAACTTAGTTCTGAAACTAAGTATGCTTGGGAAATTTGAGACGCTATTTAACATAGTCTCTTTTTTTTCAGTTCTACAAAACAACTCCCTTGCCCATTCTATAGCATTTGAAAAATGATAAAATTGGACTAAATGACCTATAAGGTCCCAAGTCTAATGTGTTATGATTTTAATGCATCTGCAAGTAATACATTTCTACACAGCTAAGATACATTTGTATTCACTGTGTTGCAAGGTTCCCAATTTTTATTTAATAAACACACGAATGAATAAAGCAGTGTCCTTGATCCTTGACCCTTGCCAGCATCTCTCATTAATTGAATGCTAATTTTGAAATAAGCAATAAATACAGCATCTGGTTCTTTCAATTTTACTTTTAAATGAAGGGGTTCCTACTGAGAACTTAAAATATAACAATGTATTACTTGAAACGAAGCGTTATGTCCATAACCTTTGAATATTACCCCTTTACTTTATTCTGATATGTTCATCTAGGGGACATTCTAGACCATATATGTGCCCCATTTCAATCCAGAGCTTTTCCACCAATTCCACCTGTTACAGACCAAAAGAGAAGGCTTAGTAGTAAAACACATAAATGTTCTCCCAAAGTAGAAAAGGGAAGAAAACAAATTTGTATATATGATACCATCTCTAAAGTTTAATAAGTTAAGAAACAAGCACTTTTTTAAAAATTTAAGAACAAAGTTAAATCAGGAAAACAAAAACAAACAAAAAACCCTGACAAATGCTTTAATATTGCCTATTTATAGATTATGCAATTTAGTTTCTCAGTTCAGTCATACTATGAAATTTCAATTCTTATCTGAGCTACATGAGTTATGGCTTCATCTTTTCTTTCTCCCTCTATTTCATCTACTCAAATACAATCAAAGCAAAGCCACATCATTTCATAGAGAAAGTGTGGACTTGTATCCCAAGATGATACCACTCTTAATGTCTGGTTACATGTGAGTTTTTTGTTTGTTTTTTTCAGATGTTAGCACGTTCAAAAGAGGACAGAGTGACTTTTTACTTTGATCTCCCCTGCAAAATATTCATCCAGGGGGAAAAATCAATTGAAACAGTTTCCCTGGAAATAAGAAAATAACTTTTCCCATTTTCAAGTTTTTTTCTTTTATTGCTGAACTGTATGAAATGTATATATGCTAAACAGAAGTCCTTTATAAAGGGTTTTATGAATATTTTTTCATAGTCTTTGGTTTATTTATTCATATTATCACTGTTTTTCCTTTTTAAAAATAAACTTTCTATGTTAGAACAGTTTTAGATTTTTAGAAAAATTGTAAAGATAGAATATGGAATTCAAATTTACCCTCCACAATTTCCCCTTTTATTAACATCTTATTATGATATAGTTGTTATGATTACTGAATTAATATTGATATATTATTAACTAA